TAATGTGTGTCAATACTGCAATTTAATTGCACTACAAGAAACTATTCTTTCACAAAGTATTGAATCTAAGTTATAAAGAGAAAGATGCTGACTCCAGCATGGCAGTATTCACTAACTCACTCATTTCATTTTGCCTTGTCATTTTCTTAGCTACACAAAGGACAGTACAGGCCTTGTTTAAACACCATTCTTCTCTGTCAGAAACAGTTCTGTCAGTGACCTCTTACAGTCACGAGATATTCATGAAAGGAGTTTTGTAAAAAGTTTATTTTGTGTTATTATTTTAATTGCAGTCAAAAGAGGTAATTATTCCTAGCCAAATCATTCAATTCATATTGTTTGATACCTTTATTGAATAACTGCAGATGTTTGTGTGTTTTATTGGTTTTGAATTAACTTTCTCTGAAATATTGATAATAGGAGCTATGCCCTACTTAAATGCCTCTTGAAAAGGGGATGGAATTTATTTTCATGTTAATGATTTCTTGCCTTTGTGTGCTTTCCATATGGTGGGTGTTCCTGTGATGTGAAATGTGTGCCCCAGTTAACAATGCTATCATTTTATACGAGAAGGAAAGAAAACAAAGAAGGACTCATTCGTTTTCTGCTTGTGTTAACCCTGACAACAAACAAATAAGCAAATGAATAATACTAAGTGTATTAATGCTGAACCATTTTGATTTGGCAGGAGTAAGTCCTCATATCAGATTATTTTATTATTTCTAAAAACCACACAAGTACTAACTGCACTTGTAGAATTACCTACAATAAATTAAAAAATATTTCACACAATTTATAGAGTATTTTCATTGGCCTTCTTTATTCACTAGCTATTCCCTAACAGATATTTTGATAAAATACTGTTTGTTTTTTTCTACTTATCAGAGGGTGGTGGCAGTCCAAGAGGCAGTACTCTTTGCTTTGGAGCAGAATTTCCGAAACAATGCACCAAGATCCTGACCAGCAAGGCTATGGTGTACTGTGGGTGTTGTGCTGCAGATGAAGTGTAAAGAGCAGGGGTGCTTTTTCTGGGTAAATTCCAATCTGGGTTTATACATTCAGCCTCATCTGCTGGGTAGTGGGGCACTCGCGCATAATGGCTGTTAATGTATGTAAAGATCTTTGGAATCCTTTATGAATGGCACTATATAGAAGCAACAAATTATTAACTTAGTACTTACAAGTGCAAAATTATTTCCCTAACTAAATTGGGGGGCTTTAGAGAGCGAGATTGTATAAATCCATAGCAACATTTAGCTACAGGTAATAGTAAAAATGACAATTTGTTTTGTTCAGTCCATTTGACAATCATTAGAAACTATGAAATACTAAACAACTGTAGTACACTAAAGGTGTCACATGCTTACAAAAAATGATAATTGCCCTGCTGATAAATAAACAAAAGGCTTGTTTGTTTCTTCCTCAAAATCGCAAGAAAAAATGCTAAATCAGAATATGAAATTTTGCAATCAATAGTTTACCCTACATTAATAGATGCCTTATAGAATGTGCTAGAGTACTTCAAAAGCAAAGGTGTTTTTTTGTCTTGTTGTGTTTCTTAAATTATTCATGCTCCAATTGCCTCCTGGGACAGCTAAGCTCAGAGAAGGGATAATTATGATAAAATTCACAGAAGAGTACAAGTTTAAAATTCATTAGAAAAAACAACACAATTCTACTTCAGTTGTCACCTAAATGGAAAATGAAATAGTACCCCTGTGAGACACTGTGAAAAGACTCCTATCACTGTCTAATGTTTTCTCAAACTTCAAGCATTGAAGAATTTCACTTAATGACAAGAAATTGTAACAAATATATTATAATATGACTTCATAAACAAAAACACAGATCCTATTTTTTTCCTACTAGGTGGTATTTCTTTTTGATCACGTTATGCAATGCAGTAAAGTCTTTGACTGCCACTATACAGAATCATGATGTCTGGGCATGGTTTAGGCGTAAGGGACAAAAAAACTTACAATATCTCTGCTTTAGTTTGGGTGCGCATTTCATGTGTACAAAATGAAAACCAAATGGTTGATTATGAATAAAGAAAATTGCACGTATACTGCATGAACCATTACAATGCAGAGAACAATCTTTTATTACAATAATACCATACTGCCTCGTTTGACAACAAACTGACTGTTTACTTGTGTCAAGATTCAATTAGAACTGAAAATTGTAATTGAGCAAAATGCTGAAGATCTCCTGAGTTCAGCATTTAATAATCCACAGATAACAACATGTATTGACAGTCTTTAGTGCTGTGATTTTAATTAGAGCATTCTCATTAAGAATTTGTGACTGCATTTTTGAACAGTAGCATTTCTAAAGAAAAAAATGGGTTTAGGGTGTAAAGAGCAGAAGTCATGACATATTGATGAATTTCCTGAGCATGATAGATGAATGAATTTCCCTCAGCCACATCATAGAAGTTCAGACTACACATGGCCCCGTTCTAATCTTATCTATGATCATGAAGGTGTCGTGTTTTTTATTTGATGTTCATCCATTTTTGCAGAACTTTAGGGTTAGGGTTAGACATATGATATGATAGATATATGATATACTGTAAAACACATGATATGATCCAGCAATCCAGACCAAGAACACTGTCCAGGGTATAACTAAATTTGTTTGAGAGCTTGTTGTTTTTAAGATTTAAAATTTATTATTCCGTTGCTAATTACTTTGTTTAGTAAGCATTTAGCACCATGCTTCCTTTTAGTGTTAGTGTGTAAATAACTTTCAGTTCACATTAGGTGAACACTGTCAAGAAAGTATATAAAAACACCTCCAGACTAGAGTACACAGGAACCAGGATGTCCTTATCTGAAGTTTGTCCTTATATAAAGTGTGGAGTGTGATTAGCCTGGCCTCATGAATGATTTCAGTGCCATGTTTAATATAATGTAGGTGTACAATTATATGACTAAAGTTTAGAATTTAAATCAACGGATTTATTCCATGGATTAAAACTGTACAATGTAAAACCTCATCACAGTACTGTGTTCATAGAAAAGCAACCAGATGCTTTGCTGGGCTTAGAGAAATATCCTCCTCTGTCTAGCCAAAGGAACCAAATCTTTTTAGTCCGAGAATGATTAAGACGACCTGTTTCAAGTATTCGAAATAAATCGAAAGCAAGTCAGTGGAAGTCTTTGGAATCAACAGTAAAACATGACCAGAGAACACAAGTGGAAACTACACCTTCTGTACATACACAATAGGTTGTGAGGATCTGGAACAGGCAATGCTACTGATGCTGATATTGTGGCTCCCAAGAAAGAAATCAAAACAACAGCAGATGCCATTTACTCTTTCAACCAATTTTGAATGGACAGGCTTTGTTCAAAGAAAGTATTTTTTGTCCTCTATCTTGACTTGCACTGTTTTACCAGGTGAGTGGTTTTACAGGGTCATCAGAGGCTGCTATCTGCTAACAGGTTCAGCCATCAGTGGAACAGAAAACAGCAGCACACGATCTGAACACTGCACGTTAGACAGCGGCGCTAGCCTGTTTCAAATTCTGAGGCACTTCCATGGCTACTTACTGTAGCTCGACAAGATGTTCACGAGGCAGAATAAGAAGTCTCATTACATGGTTCTGCTTCCTAGCATCGTGAACTAGCCAATTCTAAATAAGATAGAAATATACCCAATCAACCCTAGGGGCCTCTGCCCGTTCTTAAAAACCACACAACCTTGAAAGGTGTTTTCTGGAGAGAACTGCACACACAGAAAAACACACACAAAAACTGGCTGAAGCACTTAATCCATTCACCCACTCATCATTTTTGAGGATGCTTTTGAGTTTAAAAACATTATCTTTAAGAGGCAGTGCAAGGTCCTTTAAGTCTCATCCAATTTATTACATGATTCAATGGGAATTCTCACTTTTGCTCCTCATATCTCGAAGAACAAAACAGGGAGTTTATTTGATCTCTGCTGATGTAGGCAAAGTCCTTAATAAAAATAGTTTTTGATCTTTTTTTACCATTTGTATTATTATTACAGTACAATAAATATAATTTCTGACCAGTGCTGAATTTCAGTCTTATTTCAGTGATGCTTACAAAAAGTAGCTGGGTTTCATTTGAACCAAGCTGTGCACTGTAGCCACAACAAGGCACTGCTGTTTACTGTAAATCTAGAGAGTTTACAAAACAGGAATCTCACAAGATTTACAGTGGATAAGCATTCAAAACTAAACATATGTTTTAAATAGCTTTCTTAAATTATTTTGTCTAAATTTCATATCCTGTCTCTTTATTATGATTATATTTTAAATAAACGAGCTGTTTTTCATTAATAATTGATTGTTCATTTTTATTTACATGGAATACATTGTATAAAATTCAGCGTCTGTTTTATTCAATTTTAATAAAATTCCTCAGACTGTTGATTGTAGACATATTAATGTACCACTATATAAAAATATCATCTATTAAAATGTTGTATACATTTTGGAGCTTTAACCTTGTTTTGTGACCTTAAGTTCATAATCCATATAAATGAGTTCCATAGTGCTTATTACATTCATGTATGTTTAACTGAAAGAGCTTCATGATATTTGGCAAGAAAAATATAAAAAACTAGTAGATATTTAGCCATGAAAACAAACATTTTCTAAAAAATTGAATCTATTTACAAGAGCAGGATTTAACTCCATTTGTTTTAATTAATGGTTGAAATTAATAATTTAAAGGTAGTCCAAGAAAGAAACAGAAAAATTCTAGTATAGTGGACTCTTTCTTGCATTCTAATTTTATAAACGTTAAACTCCAATTATCTTACAAATAATTATTGTCTGGCTTCTATCCAGGTATCAGAGTGGAACTGTTTAGACAACTTTATTTGGACTGTCGGTAAATATTATGTATGTTCCGCCTAAACAAGTTTCACCTGGGTATGCAAATCTGCAGATCTGTCTAGTTTAAACCTCTAAAAACTACCTTAAAACTGTGTCTCCACCTATAAAGAGCTTTAGTCACACGTAATAAATCTTTTGCCAGCAGGGTCATTAAGGGAAGACATCTCCTGTTTATCCTCAAGATACAGCTGCTGGCTGAATAAAAGACAAGTTAACTCCTTGCAAGGTATGTTGTGTGTGTTGCAAAAAAAAGGTGTGATGGGACCTTTCAGGTCAAAATCTAAATAAATCAACACGCATTTAATTTTTAGGGTCTAGGTTAAGTTAATTATTTCTAGTTCACTGAGCAGTTTGTAATCATTTCAGAAACTTTGTGAACCTTTATGTCGAGATTTTCAAAAGTCTGTTAGATTCCCATTTTAAATGTACAGTACTTAGAAATTAAGAACTGATTTTTGATTAAGTCAAAAGTTCAAGATAACCAGTGTGCATTTAAAATTCAGATGTTAACAGAAGAGCAGAGGACTTCTGGAAAAAGACAAATTCATTCAAATGTATATTTCAAAACCAAAACCCATATTTCAAAATCATTTGGATTTGACCAAAGGTTTTTTGTGCTGTCCTGCACTTGCCACTAAACTGCATCAATGCTAAATTAACTTTTTGACAGCACTATAGAGTAACATACTCACAGTTTATTTAATTTTAATTGTTGTTTTAAATTTCTTTCTTAAATGATCAGTTGCATGTGGGACAACATTGCTGTCTTAGAAACAAAAAGTAAAACATACCTAATAAAATTTTCTATGATCAAATGATGTTCAAAGTCATATACAGTATTTTAAAGCATTTTAAAGCATTCACCAGCATTTTTATATCTTTGTTGGTTAACACAATGTACAGTAAATATAATAGAATAACAATTGTAACAGAAAATTGATATAGCATGAAAGTCACTTCTTTAGACAATTCTATTATTGCATTTCTTATTCTTAAAATGCGCAATGTAAATATGCTCTTGATTCCAAATTGTATGATAACTCATTTAAAATACAAATCCCAAGACGTCAAATAAAGCGATGTTGCCTCTGGAACTGTACTTAGAGTAGAACTATACCTGCAAAACAGGACTGTTATATTTACTTTGTAGTGCCACTGTCATTAAAATCATGGTCACACATTATGCAGATGTGATCAGAAATACTGGTCTGTTGTATTACTGCTACATCCAGGCAAAGAACATCAGACAGAACCCCAGAAATCGTGTACAGTGAGATATTTACTAAATTATATTCACTAAAAATATTTTCTGCTCCTAAAGACAGAACTATCTTCCATTGAATGGGTAGAATCACCACTAATTGCTTAAATATCTGAGAGACCCCCTAACCCTCTCTGGACGTTTCTCAGAACACATATAGTACTATAATACTGCTTTCCACAGTCACCCAGTGGCTATTTCAACTGTTTCAGGAGGTACTTCAAGGGGTCTAGTTTCTCCTCTAAATGATCAGCCAGAAGAGATTCATGTGTCTGAACCTTTCCATGCAGTATATGACAGTCCCTCAGACCAGCTCTTCTTTGAATTATTTCTAAGGTTATAATTTTAGTTTTGTATGATGACCAAAGCTGAACACAATATTCTAAATGACATGTTTCAACTGCATTGTATAGCTTAATCGTAATGTCCCCTGATTTAAATGCCACACTTTTTTCTATAAATCTAAGCATTCTGTCTGGTCTTTTTAAGCTTCCCCCTGTTGTCTTGATGAAGCTACAGTATAGCAGAATCTACATAAGCACCCAGTTCCCTGTCACGTGTTCTGTAGATTCCTGTGGCCCAGAATCGCCTGTGTGATCAGTAGAGTGCATGTTCCTCTTTCTTGCATGGACCAGTTTACAGCTAAATTTACAAATCCATGTTCATTTGCCAAGTGCCCATTTAACAATTTTATCTAAGGCTTTTTGCAATTCCTTTGACATTTTTTTTCTGTTTGCTACGCTCTCTATTTCTGAAGCATCTGCAAATTTAACTAGTGTGCTGTTTCAGAATCTAAATCATTGATATGGAGAAGGAAGAGCATAAAATGGTTCCAAGTACCATAGGGACGCCATGGTTTATATAGACCAAATCGGAGGTTAGGCTCTTTAACATTCATTAACCAGTTTCCAGTGAAACATTACCATTGGGTTCCTATTGCTTTTAGCTTGAGACTAAACCTTTTAAGAGGAATGTTACTGAAAGCTTACTGGAAATCTAAATATACAGTATTGTGTCACATGCTTGAGACATCACCATCCTTGTGGCTTTATGAAAGAAATACAGCAAGTAGGTTAAACAAGATTTTTCTTTCCTAAATACATTTTGCCTGTCTCTTAAAATGCCTTTATTTCATAAATATCTTTCTTGTTTAGGAACAAGTAATAGGTTTATTCCATGCTGAAAAAAAGAAGAAAGAAAACAAAAAAGGTGTTACCTTTTTTGTTTAGCTCACAATATCATTACTGATTGGCCTATAATGTCCTAATTTAGTTTTTTCCACATTTTTAAAATTAATAATACATTTGCAGTGCTTCAATCTGTGGGTACTGTCCCAATCCTTCATGACAGCTGAAATATCCTGGTTAAATGTCCATGAATAACATCCATCATTTCCTTATGTACAACTGGGAAAATACCATCTGGCCTGGTGATTAATTTTAAGCTGCCCCAGTCCTTATAATACCTCATTGTCAGTTATGCTACTCATGTAGCTTCTTCTATTTAAAAGGGACATGTTCCTGACATTTTGTAGAAACCTGCATGGGCTATTCTTTTAGCATATGTACTTTAGCATTTTTAACTACAATAATTGATCCCATTTTATCCTGCAAACAGTTTACTTTAACGTTTGCTATTGTTTTTTGTGACATTATTAAAAAAATAAATTATTTTTGCCCCTGCTGTAATTTCCTAAAGGGATTCTAATTTCTTTTTTTTATCTGTAGTTTGCTGTTCTTTTTATGTATTCCTTGTAATTCTGGGCCCCTTTACGCAATCTGCATAGCACTCTCTTGTCTCTTCTTCTTCTTCTTAATTTTAACATTACGTCATATACAGTAAGCCTCTGTCTACTTCCTCTGAGCTGCACTAGTTTAAGGATGAATGTTTTTAAGATAACTGAGATTTTCTTTATATATGGTATATAACCATCTAATTTTGACTCTCTATCCATCTGTCACCACTCAACTGTTTTTACTTTTATGCTCTGCTTTTCCAAACTTGTAGACCTGATTTTAGAGTCACACTTAGACTGTACTAGAAGTATAATAATAGCAGTATTTGTAACTAATATCCCACAGTGCTTCACAAATAGACGATGTCCCAGTTCATGGACCACTGACATCCAGCTCCCACCTGGTTTTGTACTACAATTATCAGACATATGCAGTTCCACAACCCAGGCTTTGGGATGAAAACCCCACCTGTCAGGAATGTTCCATGAGGATGTTCGTTAATAACCAGGCATTCGGGACCTCTTTTAAATGGCTCATTCAAAGGACAGTACCTCATATAGGGTAGTGTCCTTAGTCTTCATACTGCGAGATGGGCATAGGAACTCTGGTCCAGGGGGAAGAGCGCCACCTATTGGTCCACCAAAACCACTTGCAGAGACAACCTGATTCCCTACTGACCAGGCCCAGCATGGCTTATCTTCACAGATCTGATGCAATCAGGCTACAGGGTGTTAAAGCTGTTGTCAATATATGTAGTATAAACTGTATTCAAAGTTTGCCTGATTATGGTTACAGTTTCCATTATTTCAAATATTTGAAAAGACCTTGTACATAAGAGCTGTCACGCCCTCATTTCACCACATTCTCACACGGAAGCGCCCTTGCGCTAATCGCACTCCAGCCCTGAGCACTTCTGCCAAACAACACCTCTCCTGTCAATCAGCCAGCTGTGACACTTCATCAATCAGAGCACAATACTTAAACCCTCCAGAACCCTCTGCCCTTCGCCCAGTATTGGTCGTTCTTCGGAGCTCCTACCTTGCCTTTGTTTCTGTATCCTACTCTCTCTTCGTAATGAACCTCGGAACCTTCCTCTGACTGTGTCTACTGTCTTGCCCTTTTGGACTGGAAGCCTTCTCGTTGACCTACACCTTTTGAATCACGGAGCTGCCTTTTGACTACGCCTTCTGCCGTACCCTCTTCTGGATTGGAAACCTACTCGCCTACCTTTAGTTACTAACCTCAGAACTCGACTCGGACCTCGCCTCTCGCCTAGCCCTCATTCCCTCCGGGAACTTCACCCTCATCTCTAGACCCCCTAAGGTACCGCATAGGGTTCATCTTCCCGTTTGCTCAGTGGGTCATTCGTGACAAGAACATTTCCCCCAGTGGGTGTCTTTAATGATTCCTTTGAGAAGGAATCATTATTCCTTTCAGTTTCTGTTTCTCCATTTCCCATTGGCAATATCTCAGGTAATGCACGGGAACTTGAAATCCCCCATTAATACAATGTTACTTTGGTCAAGTGTCTTCCTGATCTCATTGTTCAGTAAAATACCTGTTCCCATGTCTGCATAAAGTGGTCCATATATTTTACCTATTTTAAAGTCTTTAATCTGTTTATTTTCAGATTTAACCTGTACACTGTAGACTCTGAATAGCACTAGGTATCTTCAGCTCCAGCTTGCAGGTAGTTTTTGATATACTGTATATTGTAGACCAAATCCACCAAACGTTCTATGAACCCATATACCTATAAATTAGATATTTATTCCTGTCATTCTCCTCTAACCATGTTTATTTTTAAAACTATTCCTTTAATGTCATAGTAACCTGCTAATTAAGAAACCTAGAGTCTTTTCAGGCTTACTTGATGCATTAAGTTTACGTTTGTGTTGTCATGGACTTTCTTCATCGCTCCAGCTTCGGCACTTTGTAAACTCTTTGCTTCCCAGTTCCATAGGTTTAAATATTCCAATATGGGTCAGACCTACAGAATAAAAAAGAGACCACTACAGACTACTACACTAGACACTACAAGTATAATGCAGACTAATTTAATGAAGTCAAAGAAGTCATTGTATATGTACTGTAAAAGTAGTTATCAAGGGAGACTTTATTGTTAACAGATTTGGAAAAACAAAAAATGATGTCAGCATCTGACGCTGAAATGGTGGACATGGCTAACAGCTCTCTTTCTCAGTTCATCAGAGAACCAAGAGAGAACAAAACAGGGAACAGTGTATAACATGAAACTGTACAGATACAACACAAAACAAAATATTTTTAGGAAAGTTGATTATTAAATAATGATACAGTGTAAGAGCAGTATAATGGGATAGGATGGATATGAAGCATACTGTATATGATAGACACGGATGGCCAAAGTTGAAAGAAAATCTGCTTGTGGAACCAAATTCATTCTTTGTGTGTGTAGATCGAAGTGAAGAGGGCAGCAGTCCAAGTGGTCTGAAAAATCACCAAAAAAAACATGAGGAGAAAGAAAAGCACAATATAAAACACTTGAAAAGAACAGGATCTGATTAAAGAGAAAGGATATAAAGAATTGCTGAAACATGTAGTAAAAGAGATGAATATTGCAATTGTTATACATCAGATATACAGATTATTTGTTTTCTTTTTCAGCATTACAAGAGCTATAGAACCGTAAGCATGATGTAAATGGACTCAGAGATAATAATGAGTAACCTTTAGTCCATGAAAGAGAATTGTGATGAATTGAATTAATATTCACTAATGAATGAGTGAAGAAATCTACAACATGTGAAATGCTGAGAGAAGTTCTACAATAAACAAAATCAGCATAGAAGAGGTAGAAGTTTTATAAAGCATTTAAGATAAATTCCAGAGACTGTTGTTATTTTCTAATTTGTTCTTAAAGAAATGAGAAATGTTATCCATATGCCATTAACAACATTTTTTCAGCAGGTACCGACAACAGGGTACCATAATACCCATTGACAGGAAAATTGTTTGTACAATGCAAAACAACAAAAACAGAACCAAATAATAATAGACCAGGAAACTAACTTAATACAGTATTAAAATTATGTCTATGAAAATAATGATTATAAGGAAACATCATCTATGAAGATCATCTGTAAAGTGATAGTCTATAAAGTTTTCTTCCAGGGTGTTGAGGGCCTCATAGGGGTGAAATACTTTAATTTGAGGTGCCTGTGGAAGTAAAGAATTTTCTGTCCCAATTACCCGGCCTCTCACCTGAGATCACTACTGTGTCGCTACTAAGGAGGAAAAAAAAGAGTGTGGTACTCTAACAAAAAAGAACACAATCTTTTTTATTAGTTTTCACAGAAAAAAAGACTGAGAAAACTTTCAGACAACCTGTTCACATACAGTATTCATAAATCCGTGAGTGCACTGAGAGAGTCAAGCCCACCGTACTTCTTCAGAACCGAAGGTAATAAACAAGGAAATACATTCAGAGATGTAACGGGACACACCTGTTATGCTGAGGATTGTGGTTGTTTGGAAGAGGAAGTCCTGTTCTTGAAGCTGATACTCTGGAAAGGCTAGATCAATTAGCTACAAGCAGCAAAATGAGCAGGATGGAATTAATCTCCTCCCACATGTAACTTGTTTCTTGTGTTTTTAACTTCTTTAACTACAGTCTGTATGTTTCCTTGATATGGTCCTTTTCGCATATGTCACAATTGTTCCAAAAGGTCCCTGAAAACCCCTTAAATCAAAACTCCTCTTCTCTGTGTGTTAAATTGACATCTTGCCACCCCAAGGCCAAGTGATGTGGCTCCTGCAAGATTCCTGAGAAGACCAGCACACATGTTCTGCTCCAATGTGTACAAACCAAATCCTTCGATTTGTCTTGCAGAAGCGTCAGTCTACCCTTCCTCACACCACTTGTTCTGACAGGGACAGTGACAGCTGGATCCACCCTGGGTCTGGTCAGGAGCCTGTCTTCTCACCCAGGGAGGTCTGGAACCTGCACAGGCAGGCAACACAGCGACACATGCAGACTCCAGACTCCCCCTGCGTCACGTGCACTGTACTGTCAGCAGCTCTGACCGGGTCCCCCACTGTCACAGCTTCCCTTCTGCATGTGGCAGTGAGCTCCCAGGTGCCCTTGAGCTCCATAGCCCTGCCATTTTCCTTTAGGGTAGAAAATTCCTAGATCAATCTCTGGACAAATCTTGATGCAGTTGGACACAAAGATCTCAACAAAAGCCTCAGTACACGTCTTGTCCTGCGGTGGCAGCCTATGGACACATAGTTATCTTTTCCTCTCTGGAATGAGTGATTCATTCACTGAACTAGAAGGGGTTTTCATTGCATCTGATATGATAGGTTGCAAAACAAGAGAGACTACATATATACTTTAAAAAACCAATTGTGTGACAGTCTAGAAAGAGGCTGTACTATACAGATTATCTGAAAATGCAATCTATGAAAGTTGACTTGCAAAAGCCTTAAGCTTAAGAAATCCCAACGTGATAATTTAATTAAATGTGTATTCTTTCAGATGTATATCTAGACTGAACTGTTGTTTAGCTAGCTTTGCTCCAGAGCAAACAACAAAAAACAAAAAAAACTGAAGAAAAAATAACCAGTTCCAAGCAAGCAAAAAACATTTTATTTTATAAGAAAAGTAAAAGCTGATTGAAAAGTTTGAAACAGTAAGATGTAATAAACAGGAAAAAACACTCTTTATACATGGATTTCACTTAGTATCTGTCTCAATACCTCTCTTCCTGATGTAGCTGGTAGAGTGTCCTCAATATTCACACCAGCTATTCCGGATGGAGATGGGATTCCCACCTCTCTTGTCACAGATGCATTCAGGATGTACTTGGTGGACAACTGTTCCACGATACATTGTAAAAGAGCACGTTTGGAGGTCACTATTGAGACGTCTGTGCTGTGCTACTGAGCCCTATACTGCTTCCCCTCAGTGAAGATTCTCTAAACACTGTTATTTTAAGGGCACAACATTTTGTTTGTACTGTAAGTCTACTGTAACTCTATCCATAGAACTATTTTATGAAATTCAGTTGAGACTTTTTTCTCTCCCTCGCTAGGAGGTAATTTTGTGGTCTGATGTTTTTGACTGCATGGTAAGTACAGTGTTTCAACAGCAGAGACTCCACATGGGAAGAGAAAGGTCTTCCTCTGCTGATGGTGGTACAGTACGATGTTAAAGATCAAAGTTAAGCATTGAACTTCTATCAGTATTATGGTACTTCTTGCCCAGCAGCTGCTATGTATATTTATGCTAATTAATTCCAGGTATGAGTCTGCACAGTGGCACTCTGGTCAGCACTGCTGCCTTGCAGTGCTGGGGCCCTGGGTTCATCCCCAGACCTGGGGTGCTATCTGCCTGGAGCTGGGATGTATTCCCCGTGTTCACTGAGTGCTCCAGTCTCCCCCCACAATCCAAAGACACATGGGTGTGGATATCTGTGTGTGCTCTGGGAGGGACTGGCATCCCATCCAGCTTGTATCTTGCCTTGTGCCCATTGCCTGCCAAGATAACCTGAACTGGATGAAATGGTTAGGATATAGATGTTTGGAATTCAAGGCATCATTTTTTTCCCTCTAAAAATGTATTTAATTTCTGACTTGAATGAGTTAATATTTCTATGTTGTCTTGGAAAACAGATTCTCCCAGATGTAGTTAATAATTGCTATGAAGGAAGAATGAAACAGATGTTGCAGGAGTTTCTTTTGAGACACTAGGATTTGCTAATAAATGTTATTGTGTCATAGACTCCTCCTCCAGACAACACAACAAAGAGGGCTTTAATTGCACTGTAAAGGGATTTTCAAATTCCAATATCAGGGTCAAGGGGTAATAAACGAGGACTACTGGCACTGGCATCTCTGAAAGCTTATATTTCAGGGGTTTTGTTTCATTTTATGCCTCTGCAACATTCAGATCAGATTTTAGTAATTGCCTTGTAAAGTTGCTGCTGGAACTCAAGGAGTATGATGTGATTCTTGGTGCAGCTTAATATGTATTTCACATCCTGAATACTCAAACTGAAAACCTTAAAGGGTAAGATTAGTTACGACAAATGTAAGCAAAAACCAATAAGGAAAATGTATGAAACTGAAATATGTTGATTAAATAGTCAGACAATAGGTATGGAGCTCAATATCTGGTGAAAACGTTTATCCAAAGCAACTTACATTTGCACATATTCATAGAGTGAGACTTTTTTACCGGAGCAATCTAAATGAAGCACCTTGCACAAAGCTATAACAATTGTAAGTTAACAGTGATTTGGGCCTACAAACGTTCACTTAAAGTATATGTCCAGAGCAAAGAACATAAGCCTATGTGTTTTAGATTCTTTCTTATTTTGTTAAATGGAGGGGAATATTTGATTTAATGGTGGCATATTCACCTGCTATGCTAAGCACTGATTAAGGATGCGGTTGTTTCTAAAGATGAGGATGAGATTTCCATTTCAAACATTAGGATTCAAGAGGGTTCTGGTCAGATGTTGATTTCAAACAGTAGTGGAAAAGGACAATTTTACATATTGAAACACATATTACAGTTAATAATACAATGCCAGCAATTAGTTATTTCTGTTTAGAAATAGAAAAGCATGTAGAAATTTTGATTTACTTGTTTTTAAAATACAAAATACTTATTTAAATGCAATGGAAAATTTGCATTTTAATAGAAATTTTTTTAAACTCTACCTACAAACCACCAATACATTGTTTTTGTTAGCAAGGCAATGTAGGTGATGGGTTCAAAATGGATAAACCATTTCCAGTTTTCCTCTTTCAAGTCTTGTCTTGTAAATGTTGCATTCCAGCAGAGGGCACCATACAAATGACGATACACACCTTTCTACCTGAAGAATAGGAGCATGACTGTCTCCATGGAAACACATTTGTAGACTTGCAGGTAAATCTAAAGGTATACATATACTGTAACAATATATAATAATTCCATATTATTTATTTATATAATATATAATAATTCCTTATTATACACACAAGATATAATCATGTGTATAATCTTAATGTTTAGATGAATATCTTACACTGTATGTGTATGTACTGTACAGTATGTGTATTCATGCTATGAAACACAAATTTGCTTTTTATGAAAAGACTGTGAACCTCTTTGCTTTCCATTAACAAGTTAAGACTTTATTTCTTCTCTTAGTGCTCCTGTTATACTTTACTTTTCAGTATCTAGGCAACATGTTAACTTTAGCAATAACAAATTTAGCGTTATATCTTCAGACGATTTGTAAATGTTGGCCTCTAATAGCAATGCTCATGCTCACCTGTAAGGCTCTGCATGTATTGGTACCTCAGTACCTGTCTGAGTCCTACTGCCCACCTCACCGCCTCTGCTCTCCTAATCGTGCTCTCCTATCTGTCCCCCAAGCCCGTCTACACTCTGTGGGTGACAGGGCCTCGTCCTGCTGTGCCCCAGGACTCTGGAATTCTGTCCCAAGGGATTTCAGAGAGTCACCTTCCCTGAGACTCAAAAGCTTTTTTTTTAAAGGGGTTTTACTTAACTGGTTTGGTGTGGCCCTTTGGTGTCCTATTGTATTCCATAACCCCATCTACTATCTCCTCTCATTGTGCAGTTTTGTGCTGTTGTGCTGTAATGAGCTACAGGAAGACCCTTTGAAAGGCACTACATAAAAATAAAGTTTAGTATTATTTGCTAACTGCCATGATACATCACAAGGTCAGAGAACATGGGCGCATTCAGCACAAGAAGCTACTTACAAACCAGCAGAGCACTGTTCTGGGTCATGTGTAAACTCATTCACTACACTCATGTGTTTTGTGCTGCATCCACACCAATGTAAGTAATTGAGTTCAAGTTAAGGGTATCTGAAAGTTAAAATTCTCTTTAAATCCCTTGCCTGGAAGCTGTTGATCTATCCCATTGTCTGGAATGCTGGGTCTAAAAGAAAACAAGGCCCACAGAAGAAACAATTCCCACATGTGCTGGAGGGTGCTGGACATTCTCCTTGGCTGTACCAAATACCCACGGAAGGTCACTGGGCGTTTGTGATCACACCGCTTTTACATTTAGCTATTTGAGTTCCATTCTTTGTCTTTTATTTTTGTTAAAAATGTTCAGACTTTCATGAAAATGTTATTTAGCTGTTTTTTATAAATATTAAAAATTTTAAAAAGCATATTACACAATATTAACAAAACATTAAGCGTGCACTTTCTGTAAAAATCTTAAAAAGACACAAAGTAAAATCAATCAAAACATTTTAGACCACATTTTATTCAATTCAAATGTTATTATTGTCCCCTTGGGGAATTTTTTTTATGGCATTCTTTATTAGGATGCTATTTTAAACTAGGTATTTATTTACATAAATCCAAACAAAGCTAGAAAATTAACGTATCTGGGAAATGTAAACCACACTTAACAGCATTAGTTTAAGTTAGTAAGGGTACTGAGGAAGGAGCGTGTTCAGTACTGTAAGTAATTTTAGGAAGAAAAAACATTGTGTTTCTTTTTGGTGACCTCATTCATTTTGTGCAGGTCACAGCCTAATTGCACAAGGTCAGAAAAAAATTCCATCTGTGTTTAAAATGCATCCTTCTATCTGTTAATGAAAGGTTACTTTAAAATAATCCTAGTTTTTAATTATTCAAACATAAATATTGCGTTATATATCCAAGAGTAGTATAACAACAAGGCTCTTGTTGAAAATGCTGTCAAAAACTAAATCAGTATTATTTTTACAACCCCTCGCCATAAAAAGAAACATTCACACACCGAGAGGGTAAATAATCACCATCTCAGATAAATCTTTCGAATGAAGCTCTTGGGTGATCGTCTTGTATACCGGCTGAACAAAAAAAACTGCAATACAAGCATACTCGAAAGTGCATTACCCAAAACTGACAAAAGGTTGAAAAAAAAACGGACAGCTCCGCTTTTCTGCTAAAAATTCTCGGCAGATTTGTACGTTCATCTACAGATGAACTTTTCATTCGCGTCAGATTGTAAATGAAAGTAACTTTATAGTTTATCAGGAGAACTGATAATAATAATCTACTCAAAGGAGGAAGACTCCTCCCTCATTTCAAGGTTACCATGGCAAAAAGTGCAGACGTCACCGTCGAACGAACCCAGTATATAAGTATTTGGAAGGCGGCGAGAGAGCCAAGGGAGGTCGGCTGTGGGCTACGGAGAGGTGCGGCGTGTGGACTGAGGACAGCCAAGCGCAGCAAAGTACACCCGATCCGATCCAAAAGATTTATCAGTTGTTCTTAACTCCTCGGAATTCGGCTAGGAAGATTTACACAAAACACAGCAAACATGGGAGTTGGAGTAAGTGATCTTCTCAATTTTCTCGTCTGGTGCCTGACAATCTGCCCTCGGCTAAGAGAGCGGCGCCAAAGGCAGCATAAGTCACACTCATACAGGTGGTGTTTTTTTTTTGTCTGGGGAGGGGACGGGGGCAACTAAGGAGCTGTCTGCAGCCCCAGAGTTGTGTGCGGGCGGCGCCAGCCCGTATCAAAGGTCCGCCGCGGACCTGTATCCGCGCTGGTTACTTGACTGAGGAGCGCGGAAAGTTCAAGGCGCATCGGAGAGTCGGCGGAGTCGGGCGGCGAGCTGGTTACATTTCACCAGGCGCCGGCGGCGGCTGCGCGCAAGCCAGTCGTGAGGAGCGGGGCTGGGAGTTGCGAGTCGAGTTTATACCTGGGGGGTCCTGACGTGTGAATACGGGCTGCTTTATAATCGTTGTCTGGGATTACAGTAGTAGTGAATGAAGGGAAGGAAAAAAAAAACGGCTAGATAACGTGTAACTTCCTCCTACTTGTTAAGCGTGGCCTACAGTTTTCCACGCTGAGAAGAAAAGGGAAAGAAAACTTAAACTCGCCGTCTTGTGACTAAAACAGATTAGTTAACTTATTGACATCAATATAACTATTTTCGGTTTTAAGTTTATTAATTTGTGTGTGTGTGCGCGCTGCACCAAACGGTAGCAGAATAAAACACATGTTGGATTTCTTCGGTATGTTGAAACTGAGCAAATCATGTGCTGGGGAAATTGGCGCACGTCTCGTTTGTCATCTGTGGTGGTGCTCGCCGGATGTCGGCTCAGCTCTCCTTTTCAGGTTTCCGAGAGAAAACGAGGTTCTGGTCCGTAAGAGTGAAGGGCTGGAGCTGCAGATGTGGATTATGTGCTGGCAGTGGCGCAGAGGCAGGAGGCGACGGGAGTGCGAGACCATCGTATTGAATTAAATGTGAGGGTGTCAAAAATGAACCTGTCTGTTTCTAGAAAACTGCGGTAGGGAAGTCAGAAACGTCGTTCAATAAAAAAGGGATGATCTTAAATTTGAAATCCAAAACTATACTCTTGGTTATGCGTTTTTATTGATTATGATTCATGGCTATAATACTCTGCACACATTTCCTTTTTCTTCTGAGGGATATTCGTTAATGAACTCGCCACTTTTATTTCCTAGAGACTGCTAGCCTTTTATTTTTTTCGGCGGCCCGTTTCCTGAACGCGATTTTTGCTACAAAAAATGTAGCGTCTTGAGACAAAATCACGCTTTACAGGGGCGAGTCCTTCACTTTTTGATTCTCGTCGATTCTCAAAAAGCTCTTGTCTTAAGTAAAAGCCAACTTTAAGACGTCTGGAGGTTAGCCTACTTTTAATTGGGGGGGAAAAAAAAACATGGTGACTCGTAGACTTTAGTTGAAGACTTTCAAAACCGTGTCTTGTAGATATGTTGCTAGGTAGAGGAAAGCTGATTTAAGTAGATCTCCGGCTTAATATGTGGGTAACAAACGGCCTTTCTAAGTGTGACCTCATTTTGATTTGTACGGTTTCTTGGGGGGTGCGCCCGGGTTTCTGGAGGTGTAGTGAGTATTCTATAGAAGTTACAGTTGCGTTTCTCTCGTAGCTGATCATTGAATCCGTATGCTTGTGAAATAATTAGTAACCCTTTTCATTCTGTCGTGTGGTTGTTTGATCGGCTGGAAATGCGATCCTTATTGCAGTTGCCAGTACGCCCGCAGAACCCCAAACACACTTGCTATTCATGGGCTCATTAATATGGAAGAGCAGCAGTTCTGTAGGTTCTTCCAGCCAATGCCTGGCTTTGTGTGCTGTCCTCGGAAACAATATTTAAAATATGTTCAAGGTTCAAAGTCTGGCTACTGTAACGTCTCTAAGAATAAAATCCTAGGGTGAGCCCATATCTAAGCAATTCCTTTAAAGATGTAACACTTTTTTACATCCTAGTCATGATTAATTGAACTCTTGTTGTTTATCCATCTCGGTAATAGAAAATGAAAGACTGTTATATGCTTGTCATGAAGGCTCAGTGATCTTAACTCTGATGTTTGGCAGAACATCAGACACAAGGAGAGCTGATTTAATGTGGGACATGCAGAGAAAGGGCTTGGCATCTTTCCTTTACTCTGTCACCCTAACAATGGCAAAAGTGGTGATCGTGACCCTCCTACAACATGTGATCCCCCACCGCACCTGTTTCACAATGCGGGAATGAAAATCGGTCAGCTGAAGTTTTTCCTTTTACTGTTTAGGACTTGGTAACCTTTTCCGAAAGTGGATCAGGTTCTGTGAAAGGATTCAGCAGACCCCTTTTTTCCTCTGTGCTGGTGAATTGAAGATTACGAGATTTAGCATCTGAGTGACAAATTGTCTTGGTTTTGACAGTCAAAGGAAGAGTTGTTTGTCCCTGTACAGCATAATTTCTCATTAAAACTAAGTGAACGTGGGGTTTCTTATGTATTGATTTTTTTTTTCCTAAAAAATCACTTTATAACCCAATCCTTTGTAGGCAAAGCAAATTACTTTTGAATATCCTGAGGTGTGAATGTATTTATTAGTCATTGCTGCTGAGCTAGGTTTCTGAGTGGTATACCTGTCCAAAGATTTGTACATGTGCAACAACTGTTTTGAGGCATTCTACAAAATGAGCTTTTTCTCTGAATATCTTGATCTGAGTTTAGATTGGTGCCTGTCTAGTTTACGTCAGCCTCTTGGTCTTTATTCACTGTTGGATCTTTCCTGAAATGTTTTTAGTCAGAGAATCCTCCCCAAATCCATTCTAAGAACATACTGTACCCAACTTTGGCAAGACCATTTCAAAGAAAGAAAATGCCAGTAAAACAAACCACAGTTTTTGCCTAAAATATTGAATACTTAAAGAAACAAGATTGGGTGGAGGGGACTTTTAATCCCCTTTGTATAACATCTAGTTTGCAGTTAAATATCGACTAGATTTCAGAATGAATTTCCCTGTTTTAATTTAAATTTTACAATCATTTCAGCGCTTCCCCCAACTTCTTGGATACAGTCTCTAACAAAATGTATACCCATTCTTCTCATTCTGCTGTTCCTGGTGGGAGTTGGAAATTTTCCAGTCTTAATGTCAGAGATTCTGTTATCCTGTTCCTTTTATTAAGAAGAAAAATTAATTATTAATAGAGAATAAATGATATAGGTAGAAAGTTATTAATATATTTAAATTGTAAGTGTTTTGTCCTGTGCTGCCTGCTTTTTAATAATGTGCAGTGCTACAAATGGCTAAAAGCTGACAAGAGGTCTTGTACTTAGTAGTGTTTGTCTTTGACCCTCAGTTTGTTCTTATTGAATATTATTTTTTGGGTGAGGGGTTATAAGCATGTAACTTTATGAATTAAAAGATTAGAATTATCCAGTGCACGTACAGAAGTATGATGATAATTGTGGATGTCATTGGTTTTAATCTCTCTTTACAAGATGCTTCAGATTTTTCTTCTAAAAGTTTGGTCATATGCTTAAGTGCAGAAACGTGACGTTTACAAGTCATAGCTGTTTATTTTATGACGGCAACATTTTCCACTTAAGTCAAACACTGTGGCTTCTAATATCACTTCTTGTACAGTAATGCAGAAGTTGCACAACACTTGCAGTAGGACACAAAGTTAGCAGTATCAAAAGCACATTGAGGTAACTTCTCTGTTTGGCAAGGGTGGGTATGAGTGCACTGCAACAGCTGATTCTGGTCGCGACCACTCCATCAGTGGCACAATCCTAAGACCGAGTTCAAAATTCAACCATCTTTTCAAGCCAGAACCCTAGGACGAGGGGTTTGAGCAGTGGTTTGAGGCACTGGGCTTGGGTTTTAGATAGTCTGTTAAAGGTGGGCATTCTGCCCTGTGAATTGAGGTATGGGTTCAGAGTTCCTATCAAACTAGGCTTTTTTAGAAAGCCAAGCTGTCTGGGCGGGCCAAATTTCTTCTTGGATATGACTGTCCTACCTCTGTCGATGCTGGTTGCATCTAACATTCTTGCAAATAAAACCCTGAGATGAATACAACCATAATAAACATCCAAATAGAACAGATGGCTGGTACCTTCCAGTAAGGAGAAATGTGGAAGTGAAGAGAATGTTGCTGACTTTTTTTTTTTTTCCTCTAGGGGTGTTGCAGGATTTCTGTGACCCTAGACAATAAATTTACAGTGAGGCTGTCAAGATGCACTTGTATCATCAGGTTCATGGGCACTGGGGAACCTATTGTAATCGAAGTGTCTTGTTGGCTCATACCATTATTTTTTATTATAATACAATATCTCAAAGCCCTCTGGTGGGTAAATAAAGAGTATTACAAAATCCTCCCTGCCTGTGTGTAATTCTGTTCCCTCCACTGTCTACAATGCTTTGCCATTTCTGTACATCACACTTCAGTATTTGTGTAATGGGGGGGCACATTTCTTTAGATTGCTTCATTAGAATGTGATGTCTTCTCTTTTTAAACCAAGAAAATCTGCAGTGCTGATGGACTGCTCGACATGTTCATGTTGAAAATGTGCAGAGGAGGATTTTAAACGGCAATTTAAAAAGCATAGTTGTTCTTTAAGTGACACATGAATTTCAGAAAATGATCAGTTCTTTCAATGAAGGCTTTAATTTGGTTAAATAGCTTAGTTAACCTTTTCCTTCTGCAATTTTTTACTGCACCTTGTCCCTGATGCAGAATCCAAACCAGTTGAGTTGAGGTAAATTTTTAACTCCTAAAGATCTGGAGCTGGCAAAAATACTAACTTAGAGATGCTTAAAAATGACCCTCTGTTTCAAAATGTGATTTATTCAATTCAGTATAAGGCCTTTTCTTTAGCTTCAGATCACTTGTAAAAACTCTGCTGCTTTCTCATTAACTGCAGTTATTATAACTACTTGTGCAGTTTGCTCTGAACTTCAACCTTCCTGTTCTTTTCCACTGTGCCCTTTTTGCTGACTCGTTAAGAAAACGCAAGCTGATTTGCCAGCAGAGAGGGTGGAAGTCCGCACATGAGGTGTGGTGGGGCAATAGTCTGTGTGGAAGACCTGCCGCTCAGGTCTCTCTCCGGAGGCTGTCGTCTTGCTGCACTTGTTTTCTGAGATCTTGCCCTTAGTAATCCAAGCTGCTCAGATTTAATATACAGGAAAACTAAACTAAATTCATTCATTACTGAATTTTGTAGGAAGGAGAAGTGTACAAATTAGTGTTTAAACCTTAATTAACCGTGAAGACAAATGATCTTGATATTTGAATGTGAAACAACTTTCTAATGCTTACAATTTTATGCTGCTGTAAAACAGAATTGGGAGCCTTGGGGAAAACTCGAAGTTAAACCACTTCTGACAATAAAGTGCCTTGATGGCACATATTGAATACCCCTTGTAGTGAATACTTGTTTTCAGAATGGCTTTAACTGTAGCCATTAAAAAAACGGTGTTCTGCGCAAGCTCATGAGAGGAATGGCTGTTTAGGCTCTCTGGTGCCATATTTTTTTCTTTTCCGCAGTTCATTATCTTTGTGAAAATGGATACCCACCTAACAGTATAACTGACATCAAAACCACGCCGTACATTAGAATAGCACATGAATGTGATGTATAGTAAGGAAGGATATACACTTGGTTGGGCTTCTGGGTAATATGATATACTAGGCTTTATAGAATAGATCAGGCTCTTTCTGGAGCTCCAGCATGCAAACGGGCTACACATTTGCATAGTGTGTGCGGTCTGCATCATGACGTGAGGTACTAAGTAAACAACCGGACGGATGAGATTGTGATGTGCTTGAGTGTACTTTAGGTTTCATGAAAACCGGTGATCCATTGACATTCAGATCACGAGGGGCACCTGTAATTTTAATATTTTAATCAAAGAGGACACCAACCTACAGGTTTGTTGGTACCAGAAGACTAACCTTCAAACTGGACAGTCCATGCTATTCTGAATCTGAGTCTTAGTCCCGAGCTATAAAATTGCAGGTTCATTTAGGTTCCTTTCCTGTACATTCTATTAACTTTCCTAAGTTTGAGTAAGTGCTCCGATTTCGTTGAATAGATCTTAAAGTTGTTGTAACCTAAACATTGCAATGACCTGGATAACCATCTTGGCTCGTTCAAATGAGGATCTTGGTTGCATGTTGCGGATATTCTTGATTTGCTCCATACTGCGTCACAAACCGCCTTTTGAGATGCTCACTTGATCCCATGTTCATTACAGGAAGGCCGTGACAAGTATGAGCTGGCTGCCACCTCGGAGCAGGGAGGGAAGAAGAAGAAGAAGAAGGGGAAGAAGGACAAAGACATGGATGAGCTGAAGAAGGAAGTCGACTTGGTAAGGCTCGTGCCTCTTGACCTTTCTCAGAAAAAACACTTCCTGTCCAGTTCTGTTCTTGCTCCTTTATTAGAAGTTAACCAAACCTGGTGACTCAGATTTCCGTTCTCTGCATTTTTTTTTCAGGTAATGTACTTTTCACTTTCCATTTTAAATAGCCGTATTAAATGTGCTGTGTTCTTCTGAATCTTATTTTGTAGGATGATCACAGGCTTACTCTGGATGAACTTCATCGGAAGTATGGCACTGACCTCAGTCGGGTAAGTCTGTTATATCAGCAGGATTAGTTACTAGTGGAAGACCATTTTCTGTTCCCCAAAACTATAGACTTACGTTTTCTTGTAAGATTATTAAAGGTAAGTTGTGCTCCTTACTTATAGTTCTCAAAGGTTTTCTCTGGATTACATTGCAAGATATTTTTCCATGAATGTGTTTATATAGAACTATTATGCAAATTATTTAGACACTGCTGTGTGTTTGAGTGAGTTTTTTGTATTTCATATTGAGTATTATTTCTTCAGAGTATAAAAGGAGCCCTGTTTTTGAATATGGGAACCTGTTTCTTAGCAACAGCAAGCACCTTAATTCCCTTTGGTTCCCTTTAGCATGGAAAACACATTTTTCAACCTGTTTTCTGGTCTTGTCAAAGAATCAACCATGTCTTTCTGAATATTTCTCTATTATTTTTCCCTTCCAAGTTATGGCCTTTTCCATTATTTCTTCCTGCTTCAGTAAGAATTCTCTTTGGAGACGCCTGACATTTACCAAGCTTTGAAGGGTCTGCTGTTCTTGAGCCCTTCACTGTCTGAGAGTTAGTTTTGAAGCAGCAGGGGGATAAAAATGAGGGATTTTTTTTATGTTGGCTTGCAAAGGTCTCTGTAATGGGATAGTATTCGGTTAAAGCAATGTTTGCAGTTTTTTGGGGCATTTGAGTAGGTTTTGATTTATTTCTTTGGAACTAAAATTTTGGAGGTGCAACAGACACAGCTTGCTTCATATTTCATTGCTCTGTCAAATAGAGGCATTAAATGTGTTTGGCTTGCGTGCAGTAGGTGAAGCCATTACCTCAAGCTCATTAAGTAGAGCCAGGAGGCTGTTGCAAGTGCTGCTGAAGTCTGAATTCAAGGAAACGCAGAGAACCAAAAGAAGTATATTCCTGCATGCTGTTCTTCTTCAGCTAGTGTTTGATGTCTTAGATTGCATTCATATATTAAACTATTATGAATCCTATTGTTTAATGTTGCCTGAGAATGTTTAAGGAAATATTGTGTGCATTAATGTCTTTGTTTTTATTTTTCCCAGGGTTTAACTGTTGCACGTGCTGCAGAGATCCTGGCGCGAGATGGCCCCAATGCCCTGACTCCTCCCCCCACCACCCCCGAGTGGGTCAAGTTCTGCAAGCAGATGTTCGGCGGTTTCTCCATGCTTCTGTGGACTGGAGCTGTTCTCTGTTTCCTGGCTTATGGAATTCAGTCTGCCATGGAGGAAGAACCTGTTAATGACAATGTAAGCAGATTGATTCAGTCTAAAGGAATCGCGTGGCTCCCTTTTTGTTTTCCTTTAACCAAAGCCATTCTTTTCTCAAACCATTCCTTTCTTCCACAGTTGTACCTGGGTGTTGTACTTTCTGCTGTCGTCATCATCACTGGCTGTTTCTCATACTACCAAGAAGCGAAGAGCTCGAAGATCATGGAGTCCTTCAAAAACATGGTTCCTCAGGTATTTAATATATATTTGTTTTAAAAAATATGCAGTCCAATGGGTGGATAAACCTCATGAAATTCTTGCTTCAGGAAAACAGATGGGTCTCACCTTGGGGGTTGGGTGAATGTCCAAAGGTACCACTGCAAGCCAACTACAAAATCTAACTTTTTTTATTGTTTTATTACTACAAGTCGGTGGACAAACTTTGAAGTAAAAACCTTCTGGTTTCCTTTTCTAGCAAGCTCTGGTTATTCGAGATGGGGAGAAAAAGAGCATAAATGCGGAGGAGGTTGTTGTTGGAGACCTGGTGGAAGTGAAGGGGGGAGACCGGATACCTGCTGATCTGAGAATCATCTCGGCTCACGGCTGCAAGGTTGGTTACTTCTCCACGTCAAAGAGAACGTTGGGGACTCCACTCTCCTCAAGATGGCTAAGCTTTCAGAAAATTGCAAATTTATTTTTGTGTTTTTTCAGGTTGATAACTCTTCACTCACAGGGGAGTCAGAGCCGCAGACCAGATCTCCTGACTTCTCCAATGAAAACCCTCTTGAGACCAGAAACATTGCTTTCTTCTCCACCAACTGTGTTGAAGGTTTGTACTTGTATCTAAGACACATTTGCTTGCCACTTTGTGGTTGCTTAGTTGTAGCACCATATAATGTAGTTGGTCTAACCTTTTCCAAAGTGTAGTAATAACCCGGTGTTTAGTGATGGTACAGGATTGTACAGAAATCCCTTCCGTTTTTGGATTTAAACATTGCTAATACAGGTGGAGTGTTCCATGAGAAATTGCCATATGAGGCTAAGCCTGTACCATTTTATAGTTTTTTGCAGGTTTTGATCTATTAACTCTGAGATGCAAGTACTGCAGAGAATTGGAATGCTGCTTTCGTTTATTTCCATCATTTTCTCTGATGTGGGTTGTTTTCTAAAGGCACTGCTCATGGGGTTGTCATCAACACTGGTGACCGAACCGTGATGGGCCGTATTGCAACTCTTGCTTCTGGTCTGGAAGTTGGTCGCACACCCATCTCTATTGAGATAGAGCACTTCATCCACATCATCACTGGGGTGGCGGTGTTCCTGGGAATCTCCTTCTTCATCCTCTCCCTGATCCTTGGCTACAGTTGGCTGGAGGCCGTGATCTTCCTGATTGGAATCATTGTGGCCAATGTACCTGAAGGTCTCCTGGCTACAGTCACTGTAAGAGCTTTAAGATTTTTTAAGGACCCTTGATGGTGGTTCATAAAGATACAGACGTGGAGTAAAGATCTCTCTATTCTGCCTTATCATATTCAGGTCCATTCATATTATATTTAAGTCCATTTTGAATTGCAGGCCTCAAGAAGACCATTGTCACAGTTTCTGGTTTAAAAAAAAGTCTCTTCTATGTGCTATCAGTTACAGTTGCTTCAGATCAAATTAGTTAGCCAGGTTCGACTTTAGGAATATCTTTTTTTATTATTATTATTGACATTCACTCATTCTCTTTGAGAGTTTCATTTTGAAACTATAACAGTGTGTGCTTTTGCTCTCCCTCCCCCTCAGGTCTGTCTGACTCTCACAGCAAAACGTATGGCCCGTAAGAACTGCCTGGTGAAGAATCTGGAAGCTGTGGAGACTCTGGGGTCCACCTCTACCATTTGCTCAGACAAGACTGGCACCCTGACCCAGAACAGAATGACCGTTGCTCACATGTGGTTTGACAACCAGATTCATGAAGCCGACACCACCGAGAACCAGAGCGGTAAGCTACATGAATCTTTCATTTCGGTTACTTGAAAAAACAGGACCCCTCCTTTTCTAAATAAACATAGATGAGATGAACTCTTCATCTGGACTGTTGATTGAAGAAGAAAGCACTACATGATGTACCGTGCATTGGAATGTGTGGGAGCTCTTCCATCACTCGTGTCTGATCTCTTGCAGGTACGTCTTTTGACAGAAGCTCTCCAACCTGGGCAGCTCTGGCCCGGGTTGCCGGCTTGTGCAACCGCGCTGTGTTTCTGGCTGCACAGGAGAACGTGCCAATTCTGAAGGTCAGCTGTTGTCCAGTTTGTTTTTTTGGGTGTGGTACTCAAACATCTGGTCACATCATAGGTTTTATCAGTCAGACGGGGAGTAACGACATGGGGACCGCAAAGCAAAAATTCCCCTTGCTTCCTAAGGTTCTCTTGAAGAGATTCAAAGCAGCTGGCCCTTTTTCTCCCCATTGATGGAATAGTGCTTAAATGCCCTTTCTCTTTCAGTTTTTGTCTTGAAAGCAGAAATGGTGGAAAGTCTTCTGTAAAGGTTTATTATCAATGCACGAACAGTACAGCATACAGCGGTGTCGTCGGCAATGAAATGCTTTGTCCACGAGCTCGTTAAGAGGGATAGAAGTGTAGGAGGACAGGAAGTTATAGGGATTAGATTAACATTAGGATACAATTAATTACACAATTTCAATTTACAGATTGTAAAATGTAGTAACACTGTAATAGAAGGTAGTAGGTCATCTCCAGTACTTGCATAAAGATGGAATTGGTGCAGTGTATTTCATGGGTTAAAACATTGTCCACTTAGTTTTTAATAATACGTTTTAGAACTGAAAATATCAGTCTACTTTACATAAGTAAATTTATATCTGATGCTTTAAGCACTGTCACCTTGTATTGGACTAAGCCATTATTAAAAATGGAAGGATGGATCTGGCGGTTCAATATTAAGAACATGAGTATGGTTACAAACATTTAAACATTTTGACCACCATATTACATTAACAGATTTGCATAGAGATTTGAAGCCTACAGGTACAAAACCAGATGACAGGGTCTCTTTGCCAAGCATCGTAAAATGCTAACAAAGATGTTGAAAGTCAACTGTGCAGGGGTGTATGAATAAGATTCAACACGTAGGTAGTAGGTCTTGTTTTAGCTATTGCCTCGGGCACGTTGGCAGTAGTAAAGCCAGAAGAACGTGAAACTCGGACAGCTGTGATGTTGGTATCTGGTTATTAATATCCATTTGTGAAAATTTGCATGTTGCATTATTTAGAGGGAAATGTGGACTTGATCATTTAAATAAGCATTTCATTGATGAGGAGAAAAAAGGACTGTGGGATTACTGTGTGCTACAGCAGCAGCAGGAGGAGGAGCTGACCTCCTTAAAAACTCCCCTGCAGGATTTCTGGTGATGTTTATTAACCTGCTGCTGAACGGTTGGCCCTGTCTGCTTGGGGGGAAAAAAGTTCAGTGTTCTGCTGTCTTGGTAGATTACAGTTCATTTGTGTACTGAGGGTGTAAGTAAGCACAAGCAGAACAAGCTGGGTTTCAGTGTAATTGAAAGAAACTTTAGAATTTATTTCCATTTCAATTTTGATTTTCTGAATGAAAGCGTCTTTCTATCTCCGTTTATGAAGGCGTTAAGGAAATTTGCCTCTCCATCTTGTGCAACATAGCTTCTGTGAGAACTATCAGATCCCACATACTGAAGAAGTGTTTGACTCCTACATAATTATAGTTTGTTGATCTTACCGAGACACACTGGCGCTATTTTTCTGTTTTCTTCTATTGTGCTTGATGGGTTCTAGCATTTATTCTTCATTTGTTCAACTTCACCAGAACCATTTCAGCTTAACTGAGTGACGCAGCTAACCTTTTTGTAGGACTTTTCTTTTTAAATGAAAGCGCCTCTTTCAACACAAGCACATAACACAGACAAGCTCCTTTTTAGCAAACGTTTAATTAACTTTGTATGACGTATTTAAGTTTAAATTACAGCTCAAACTCTAGGACGATTTGTAATTCAAATGTTTTCCTGGCTTGGAGTATTTTAAATATTTAACCTTAATTAAAAAAAATAAAGTCCTTAGTGTTTTGGATGTACAATGTGAGAAAACTGGTGTGCCATATGAATCTATATCAAATCAAAAATAGATGTCGGAGCCAAAACAAAACTTCCTAGTCTTTTTATCACAATCACAGCCCTAGGCCAGCCAAAAAAGCCAAGTGTTCATGTCTCCATTTCTCCTGCTTGTGTGCTTTTTAGTTAGTGTACTGATGTGGTAATGTTCACACAGACCTGAGATGTTTGCTTTTAGGACTTGCACACTGGCAATTAAAGACACATCCTTTAGAAAAAAGTTCATTTCAACCTTGAAGTTGTGATGGTTACAGCAGTTAGCCATGCAGGTGTTGGGTCCTGGGTTCGATTTTTGTTCTGCAGCACATTTTGTGTGACTTGTATGCCCTTCCCATGTCTGGGGGGGGTCTAGTTTCCTCTCACCTCGCAAGAAGGTGCAGGCTGGATTTAAGGGTTTGACCTTGCTCCTTTTGGGTGATTAAATTGCTGCATCTCTGTCAAACTTGGACATGGGACGGGCTTAGAAACAACAAGTGCAATTCCAGATAGTCTGGCATTGCAGGTAGGTTATGCTAAAAAAAAAAAGCTTAATGATTTTTCTCCTCTTTAAACAGGGTAAAGAAATTTTTAAATATTGATTAAACGTAAGGATTCTCCTGTTCAAAGTCTTGGACTGCATGATCATTGTGTTTATCTTGAAACTTCACAGAGAGATGTTGCTGGTGATGCCTCAGAAGCTGCCCTGCTGAAATGTATTGAGCTGTGCTGTGGGTCTGTGAAAGGAATGAGAGAGCAGTATCCCAAAGAGGCAGAAATCCCCTTCAATTCAACCAACAAGTACCAGGTACAAACATTAATCCAGGTGCCTAAAGGCAAACCACAAAGGCGAGTTCTCCAAACCTGGATAAGTACAACAATTTTTGTATAAATCTGGACAGACTCTTATGTGTGCATAATGGCTTCTGTCTCTAGCTGTCTATCCATAAGAACCAAAATCCATCCGAATCCCGATACCTCCTGGTGATGAAGGGCGCCCCAGAAAGAATTCTCGACCGCTGCTCCACCATCCTGATGCAGGGCAAGGAACAGCCTTTGGACGATGAGATGAAGGATGCTTTCCAGAATGCCTACCTTGAGCTCGGTGGCCTGGGAGAGAGAGTGCTTGGTAAGTCTGTTCTGTTGCCTTCTCAGCCTCATTAAGAGAAACTTAAATGTGTGAATGTGAGGAAACGAAGCCAAATTTTTCACAATTACTTAGTGCAGGATGGCTTTAGATTTATTAATCACCGTAGAGCCAATTTTTTTTCATCTTGCTGCCCTCTCCCGAACTAACCTACTCAACTGTAGCGCACACAGGAGGGAGAAGGCTCATTCGGTCTTGGCCCCTAACTGTTGAGGTTTCTTGTGGGTTAATGCAGTAAGATGAGCAAGATTTCTTGCTGCTGAATCTACTGGTTCCTCATGTTCCATTTACCGTCCTGCAGGATTTTGCCACTTTGCCCTGCCTGATGACCAGTTTACTGAAGGGTTTCAGTTTGACACCGATGAGGTGAACTTCCCAACCGAGAACCTCTGTTTTGTGGGCTTGATGTCCATGATTGATCCTCCCCGTGCTGCTGTGCCTGATGCTGTTGGCAAGTGCAGGAGTGCAGGAATTAAGGTAACTTGCTTTTTTAATATAAGCATTCTGTCATGTTGGTTGTCTTAAGCAATCTGGAGTCATCCTTCCCTTTATTGCTTTCAGGTTATCATGGTTACTGGTGACCATCCCATTACGGCCAAGGCCATTGCAAAGGGTGTTGGGATCATCTCTGAGGGCAACGAAACTGTGGAAGATATTGCAGCCCGTCTGAACATCCCTGTTAGAGAGGTGAACCCCAGGTATGGGACCCATAACTAAGCTTCTTTGCCTTTTGTGTTTGTTGTGTTTTATTGCTGCAGTACAAAAATGGCAGCTTCATTTATAGGTATTGGAAACTAAAAGGTCTTGGAATTTGTAGGTTTTGATTGTTCATCGTACACAAAAACACAAGTTGAGGTTAAAAATAATGCATGACTGTTTAAAAAAGGTATTGTTGAGTCAATCCAGCTCTGCATTTTTTTTGATAGCACATTTCTTTTTTTTCTGCGTTTCAAACGGTCTCTTTTTATAGAGATGCCAAAGCCTGTGTAGTTCACGGCGGTGACCTGAAGGATATGACTTCCGAGCAGCTGGATGACATCCTAAAATACCACACTGAGATCGTGTTTGCTCGAACCTCTCCTCAGCAGAAGCTCATCATCGTGGAGGGCTGCCAACGACAGGTGCTGCGCAGTATTGAGTTACTCCTGTTCTGACAATAGTCATTAGCCTTGACTAAACACCCTAGATTGGGTTCTACACAATACTGTGGTGTATAAGGCATGAGAAGAGATCTGACATCTTGTATTATATAACAGGCTTGAATGCTATTTAACGTGGGTGTGCTGGGGATGTTTTATCTAGGCATGTAAGCGATAGCTACACTTAGACTTTTTGGGGTTTCTTCACAAAAATACATTTATTTTAAAAACTGTACTGACCTCATAAAATGAAAAGCCAGAAAAGGCTGGTTACAGTAATGTAATAACTTAATACAATTTCACCAATAGACAGCAAACAGTAATGCTTTATGACTATGAGCAGCATAACTATAATATTACCTATGTGCCAGACTGTAACTGTTGAACTTGAAAAATACACAAGGTATAGTGTTAAGTTTTGTGTAACTTGTTTTGTAGCACCATACTTTGAACAATTTTTGTTAAAAGTACGGTGTTTGAACCTAGATAGTTATGTATGCATCACCAGCATGCTGATGAGGACTTCCAAATGTTAGAGAGACGTTAGTGTAATGTAGCTCCAGGCCAATGGAGTCATGCAGCATCTTATTAAAATTATATTATGCAAAGCAATTATAAATAGATGCTCTATGGTTAGCTTCCTTCAGTTTGATTTATGTTTTTGAACAAAACATAATTATCTAAAGAAGCACCGTGTTTTAATGTTATACCAAATACAAATAAAGCCTGTGTTTTGTGGAGGCCCTGGAGGCACATCATGTGCGCGGTAGGGATGAGGGCAGAGATGTGCCGGTAGTGTTAGGAGCTCGAGCAGAGAAAGTATTAATGTTAACGAGCTCCTGAGGTCTGCAGAGCCGATGCCTTTACATTGTGCGTATGAGGTTTTCTTGGAATCGTACAGAGCCAAGTGGATGCTGATGGTGATGTTGCTTTTCATTTACATTGTGGGCATGTCGGGTAAAATTCATTTATGGAAACGTTCAGGCATCGAGATGAAGTGTAAAACTCATGCCTTAAAATTAACATGGTCATTAAAATATTTTAAAATGTGCATCTTATTTCTAGCTTTACTAATAACATGAAGTGTGGTAGGTTGGCAGGTTATTTGTGGCTGTCTTCTAGAAAACCGTTAGTCTTTTTTTTTTTTTCCCCCCCAATGGTACATTCCCTTATTGCAAGGAATGATTGAGGTTTCTTAAATATGCAGCCAACTATTGGTGACATCTTTGGTGGCTTCCTAAAGACACAGTTTTGAGAAAACCTCTTGAATATTGATCTTAAATGTGTTAAAAGTCTCGGTGTCTTCATGGCTCCCCTTATTCCAGCTTTTACAATTGGACAGTATATGTCGCACTAGATGTAGTGTAAACCTTACTTCAGATGAGCGATGTGTATTTTTGTTGTTATGTTGTATGGGGCAGCGCTGGCGATGTGCGTTCCCCCAGTGGCGAGCCTAGGGATTCACTGCAGAACTATTGACTAGGAAGCAGATTTATTCTTGTCACAAAATGCAGGTTTCACTGCTCAGTTTATGGCAAGACTTGAACACTTTTGGCTTAATTTAAAGAAAATATCAAATTGTTTCCAGTGACATTTGGATATTCCACTTCTATGTTATTTAATAACTACATAACTGGGGGGACTGGAGAACTGGTTACGCCAACATGTCAATTTTTCACTTGGGATGTATTGCTTTAACTGGAAGGCTCTTGGTATGTAAAAACCCAGTGAACGTCTCTTCCACTCACTAGGGTGCCATTGTAGCCGTGACTGGTGACGGAGTGAACGACTCCCCTGCCCTGAAGAAAGCAGATATCGGTGTTGCTATGGGCATAGCTGGATCAGACGTCTCCAAACAGGCTGCTGACATGATCCTGCTGGATGACAACTTTGCTTCCATTGTGACCGGTGTAGAAGAAGGTAAAACGGTTTTTAGAAGTTTGTAAAGAGCTATCTGTGAATGCGGTCTTAATTTTTCAAGTGAATTGGCTGGGTTTTATTTTTGCCTGACCTCATTGGCTCTCTAAAGCTTGGTAAGACTGGGCCCAGTAAATACTGGGATGGGAGACCTCTGAGGAGAGAATGGTGACGGTGATTTTTCACTCTAGACATGACTAGACCAGTTCTTCACTATGCTGACAGAGGACGCTGTGCTGTAGGAATCACTCTCTCAGATGAGAGTACAGGACCTCCGTTTTCTTGGCCACCAAGATCTGATGGCCCTGCTGTTTAAAGTAGAATAATTACCTCTAGCATCCTGACTGATTATCCATTCTGGGCTTGCACACTTTGCCCTGTTGAAGTATCTCCTTAATTCAGTAAGTACAATAAACTCTGCCTGGTTGGCTTGTGATGGTGGCTCTTCAGTGGTGAAGTAGGTCCCCTTTTATGTATTCTGTATGTTAAAGACATTGCTATAACTGTTTGAACTTTTACTTGTTTTCCCACTAGGCCGTTTGATCTTTGATAACCTGAAGAAGTCCATTGCCTACACCCTGACCAGTAACATTCCTGAGATCACACCTTTCCTGCTCTTCATCATTGCCAACATTCCTCTGCCACTGGGAACTGTCACCATTCTGTGCATTGACTTGGGCACTGACATGGTGAGAGCAAATGCATTCTTCTTTTCACTACTTGTTTCAAATGTAATTTTATCTGCTCTAGTTATTTAATGTGCAAGTTTATCATTTTAAAACTGCAATTTAGATTAGCTGAGTTTTAAGCCTCCGTTAGTCATTTTTTTATTTTTTTTTCAAGGTTCCTGCTATTTCCTTGGCTTATGAACAAGCAGAGAGTGACATCATGAAGAGACAGCCAAGAAATCCAAAAACAGACAAGCTGGTGAACGAGAGGCTTATTAGTATGGCCTATGGTCAGATTGGTAAGTGTTTTTATTAGGGAAAAGGTTGTTTCAATCAAAATAAATCCAAGCATTGGGGGGTTAGTAGACCCTGACATCCAGCAGCCTTGAGTAACATTGACATTAGTCAATATGCTACAAAAAGCACATGATGCACATTGTAATGATCATCATGTGCATTTTGTGGCATATTGACTAATAGATAAGGAGTAGCCGTACTCCGCAGATTCACCAGCTTTTAAAAGAATGACTGAACATAATTGCACCTAACAGATGATAGTATTGCTGTTGATGGTTTCTTATCAAATTGATTGAGCTGGTTATGCACAGCAATGGTTATATTTTACTCATGCATGCTCAGCTGTGTAGAACTGTTTTTATAACATATTTCAATTTTTCTTAGGTATGATTCAGGCCCTGGGAGGCTTCTTCACCTACTTTGTCATTCTTGCTGAGAATGGTTTCCTACCATCTGACCTGCTTGGGATCCGTGTGTCTTGGGATGACAAATACGTCAATGATGTGGAAGACAGCTATGGTCAACAGTGGGTCAGTGTGATCAATATTTTGACCATGTCTGCATTGGAATAATAATAATGCAAGATGTTTATTTAGTCTTTTTCTCTGTTTTCATTTTTATAGACTTACGAGCAAAGAAAAATTGTTGAATTCACCTGTCACACAGCATTCTTTACAAGCATTGTGGTGGTGCAGTGGGCCGACTTGATCATCTGTAAAACAAGAAGAAATTCTGTCTTCCAGCAGGGAATGAAGTAAGTGTGGGGGAAACTAGGTGTAGAATTACTTTCTACCACAGAGTAACCTTTTGAATTAAGTTTAATATCACTGAAGACTGGATATTCAACTGAATTGGTAGCATCGTAATGGTTCGAGAAATGCAGATTGACAGTTTACAGTGTGATGAGGAATCTGATTAATTCGATGCCTGATGTAGTCGAAAAATGGCTCAGCTAGAACACTGATTGCTCTTCCACCAGAGATCCACGTAAATTGCTCCTTTCTGTCAAGACCTAATTTACCATTAACCTTCCACAGGAACAAAATCCTCATCTTTGGTTTGTTTGAAGAAACCGCTTTGGCAGCCTTCCTGTCTTACTGCCCAGGAATGGACATTGCCCTCAGAATGTACCCACTCAAGTAAGTTTGAGTATAGTGCTTTCTTGCTCTTTATTTAACTAGATGTCCACGAAGAAATATTCATGATCTCGGGGGGGCCTTGGCTGTGTACTGCTGCAAGTTGAAGGATGACCCTCGTCTACCTGACACCAGTGAATGATGCAACATGTACTCAGCTTAAAGTTATTATTAGGAGTCGTTTATCAGTTGCTGCAGTGCTGAAGTTGATTCTTTTGAAAGCTCTCTGGACTACGCATTTGACCTCTTGTAATTATGACTTGGAAAGTCTCCTGGTGGGAGATGACTTTTATCTGAGCCTTTTCCCTTGACTTAATTCCTTTTTCTGATGCTGTTTGACCACTGATCTCAAACCTGTTTTACCAAGGAATAAACTGTTAAAGTATTTGCATCATTCATAAAATATAAATTCCCGTTAATGAATTCCATACGCTTTCTACTTGGCTACATTACATTGAAGTTGATTTGCTACATTTGTCCTCTTCAGACCAAACTGGTGGTTCTGCGCCTTCCCCTACTCCCTACTTATCTTTATTTATGATGAAATCCGGAAACTTATCCTCCGACGCAGCCCAGGAGGTAAGACTATTAATTATTTTTTGTTTATAAGTGTATTTGTTGTCTAAGCTTATAACAGGTTTATACAGGTAACGGCTAAAATAAGGGAAACACATGAGTAAATGAGGGATGCAAAGTATATTGAAAGCATTGTTGCCCATTATTTTGGCTTCCTTGGCTAAAAGAAGAGATGGGCGAATGCTGAGGCAGGTTTGACAGGAGCTTCAATGGTCAACTTGCTGACATTTCACGAGGAGTGGAGGCTAGGTTTGTATCGGCTTGGAGTCGGAGGGAAAGATGACATCCCCTAGAGGCAACTGTGGACGAAGCGCATACTTATCAACTGTGATGTTGGTGCATTGGTTTGAGATGCAAGGCCAAACAAACGAGCAGCTCTGAATTAGTTGACTGCCTGCTAATATTTTAGATTTGACAGTTGTAGTTTTGTCAAATATAGTCCGTTGGGAACTTGACAGAGAGGGATGCTATGGTTGGATTGCAGTGCATAAACCCCTTATTACACCTAAAAGTGCACTTTGACAAGTAGCGGTACAAAGAGCACAGGCAGGGCTCTACTGAGCAGTTGAGGGGGGAATCATGAGTCGTTCTTCACCCTGTTCTCAACAAGCGGGCGAGCAGATGTGTGGCAAATGTCAAAAAACTCCCAGGCTCAAGTGCTTGTGTCCCAACGTGAAGTGTTCTGGTGGCTCTGTTATAGCAAGGGGTGTGTTTTAATGTTGATAAGGGCCACTCAGCCCCTTATAGGACAAGGTATATATTGGTATTTACAAAGCCATTCTGAGTGATCACTCTCATCCTATGCTGAAGCATTTCTATCCTGATGGGACTGAAATCTTGCAGGATGACCATGCCCCAGTTGCTAGTCTTCCATGATGTTTATGCTCCTCTCTTCCATTGACTCTGAAATTACTGTGAAAATTGATTTATGCTAGTGGTAAGGAAACATTAAGCATATTTGCTCCCCACTATATAGCTGGGAATCCATGTTCATTGAGATGTATAGAATTTATAAATAAATCAGTTTGTCATTATTTTGTGCTAATATTTTTTTTTGATTGTTTGACCAAAGGAAACAAATTGTTTTTAATTCTCAAATTTGTGGTTCTTGGTGTTTGTCAGTAAAGTTGGGTCTTGATATGCAGACCCTTGCAAAAACCAAAATTCTTGGGTGAACAAGCCCATCTCTAAGCCCATTGCATAATGGCCTACAACATACTTTGTATGGGTAAAAGACATGAGTAATACTCGCTTATATAATGTTTAAAGCAGTAATGTGTTGACTTTCAGTTAATTTTAAGTAACATTGATCAATAAAACCAAACAACAGTAATAAACTTACAGTTATCATCTAAAATAAACACGAACCCCTCCTCTGCATCCAGCTGACTCCTGTGCTTTCTCTCTCTGCCTCCAAGATTATCACCTTGCTCTGTGATGAAATGTGCAAAAAGAATTTAGAGCGCCTGTAAAACTGTCTCCAGCCTGTCATTTCCCTACGTGGCTGACACAGAACCTGGAGTGTTCGTTATATATATATATAACGAACAAGACCACTTGGGGAGAGCAGGGAGAGACTCGTTCACTAGCTAGATTTTCCTCATGATCCATATCTGTGCTCTGCTCATTAGAAAGTTGTGATTAACAACCTTCGACTTGGTTTCAGGCTCAGTTTGTTCTCTTGCATACAAGACCCGATCTGCCAGACTGAATCGCAACATGGCAAATTAGCCGTTGGATAGATTTGAAAATGTCGAGACCCTGCTGTACTTCAAGCACAAGCTCAGGTGTGAAGCTCGCACTTCGGTGTGAAGCTTAAGTGGAGGAAAGAATGTTTCCTAATGTAGCCTTTTTTCATTTTGCAGGTTGGGTGGAGAGAGAGTCGTATTATTAAAGGATCGCCGCCTGCCACACGGTTCCATGCATGGTAGTCGTGCTGCTCTGACCTTTAACCTCAGTAACTTTTGGATGTTTTTATATAGAATGCTCAAAACAACTGAGTTAGAAACTGAGACTTTTGGTGTTTGTTCTGGAGCAGGAAATATTTTATACATGGTTTTTAACAGTAATTAAAAATAAACTTTGTCAAGTCTCATTTGTTGTCTTGTGATTACTTTCTGGGGCACCATGAAATATTCCATTCGGAGCACTAAGGGAAACCTAATCCCGCAGCTATGAGCACAATCAATGCAACAAGAAACATCTGACCCATAAGAAAGACCTGGTAGCCAACTGTTCCAGTACTTCTGTTCCTCTAATTGGGGAAGAGGGGGGAACCGAAAATTGTTGTTCTTAAACATTAATTGACATCTTGTGCTTTTGCCTCATTCATCTTTTTTATCTCAAATCCAATTTGCTTCAGTATAGCTTACAGCAAAGATGGAAATGTATACTTCACTGCCCCGATACTTAGGGAGGGCACTGTAAATGCCATGGGTTTTTTTTAAATGTTGATCTTTCAATGACTTATTTTCAAACCTGTTCTGCGATAGATCAGGAAACAATGCATGTATTTTACAAACTGATGTTCCTGTTTCTGGCCTATGAGCATTCTTAAACCAATCAAATGCTCATGTATACACCATTTCAGCATCTGGAGACATTTCAACACTGCAGCATTCACCTGATTAAGTAACCATGTAAACTATTTCCCGTTAAACAGAGCATACCAACACTGAGAAGAAAAAAGCAACATATAACCCTTTTTTGGCAGATGTATTGCCCAATAGTGCATCTTTTACAAACTATTATGTAGCATTCATCTCTTTAAACCTCCCTTCAGAAAGTCTCATTCAGACCACAAAAACTTCACGGCACTGGTCTTAACTAGCTTTACAGCTCTTTCAAGATACGAATGAACGGTCCAGGATTCCTCTCAAAAGAGACATGTCTAAGAGGAAGAGAAGACGGGTAGTGTGAAGATGTAAGTTTTTATGTACTACAAGGTACGTCACTTCCATTAAATGTACAAAACCAATAGTCATTTTAAGTTTCTAAATTTATCCGGAAACCCATTTCTGTTTTATAGCTGACCATGTTCCAAATATGTTTGCAATGCTATATAATAGATTTGCAACACATTTTATAATAATAATGACTTTCAGGATGTATATCACAAAATTAGCCTGATTATTAATAATTAGGTCATATTGCTTGCTTGTATGGCAGCCTTCTGTGAACATTTTTTGGATTCCTGTCACATTGATTTTAAAAAAAGATTAATTTTAGTTTCCCTCCGACTCTGAGGAGCATTTTTTAAAACTTTTCAGTCTTAAAACACCTTTTCACTCGGGCCTGTATGTGATTACCTCAAAGCTTACCCTGTATATTCTCATTTAATTTATTTGTACTTTTTATGATATGCTTTCCTCTTTTTTTCTTTATTACTATGTACAGTTTTCTTTGGTTTGGAAAAACACTTAAGTTATCACCTTTTTGAGAACTGGTTGCATTTTGTTTTCAGAATTCCTTAGTAAAGGGAAGATTTCTTCAACTGAATTTCAAGCTGCTAGGAATTCATAATTCAACAGCATCTGAAGAAGTAAGAGGTTAACAATCTGCACCTCCACAGATGGGTGACTCCCACTGAGCTCAGGAGTGGCGCAATTAAATTATCAGCCTACACAGAGCACAGATCTTTACTCCTACACAGGAAAGGTCAGCAAATTTAGGGAAATTTATATGCAGTAAAACAATCTGTGTACCAGAAATGCAATTGTTACTCGGTTTCTTCAAAATAATCAGGCAAAAATTACTTTTATTGTTTTCAGAATAACAGGAAGACTTTGCTGATATATATGCAATTAATATTTTTTTAACTAATGCATTTAAAGCCATTAAAATAATTAAAAATGGATACTTTTAAAGGAACTGAGTAGCTGAAGTAACTCAGGTTTCCAACACATTAATTGGATACTATCCAGACATCCTACCTGTGGCTGCATGAATCTGCAGGTTGTTGATCGAGAGACACCCTTTGCCCGAAGTCTAACATCCATAACTCTGAAAAAGAAGACCCACCACAACTTGAGTGTTATTGGGACCCAGCTGGGGGCAGAGGAACAGAGCAGTGGTTTCCAGAGGAGCTCTCCTGCTGTGACAGCGGTCATTCTCCAGAGCACAGCTCTTGACATGCAGAACCCAAACACCATAAAGCTTTGTGAATTAGGCTTGGAAAGGAAAAAAAGAAGATTGTGCATGTGCTGTTGCCAATGCCTTCACAAAAGTGTTTAATTTATATGAGGGTCACACTTACACTGTATTTTTAATAGAGCTCCTAGAGTTCCATTAACTTGCTATAGTGTTGTCACTCCACTGGGCTCTTTACACCCATTAAATCTCCAGCATGAAGTGGCTCAAGCTTTTGGGAAAGAGGGTGTGATTCTTTTTTTGGGCTATGAAATGTGGGCTTAGTGCCATGACTCAGATCATACGCTATTGTTGAGGCTGATAAGGATTCTAAAGTGGAAGACTTACTGGTGAGCAATTCAAAGTGTCATGGGCTTGCAGTTTACCGGGACTGGGCAGTTACAGGCTTCGGAGGCGAGGAAAAAACTCTTAAAATTAGTTAAGCCCTTATTAAACTGGAGTGCATACCACGTCATAGACTTTTTAAAATATTTAATAAATATTAATATAATATAATAATATTTACATATTAATTATGATTTTTTTAATAATGTCAGGAAGGTAGAAAGAGGCATGTTTATTACTAGAAATTCAACAATATTTTTGTTCCATCATTGTTCCCAAGTTCTCGATTTTGTTGTCTTGTTTCTGCAGGGAAGGTTGTTCTATTACTTGTCATTTCAGTATTCAATGGCAAATTATTCTATTATATTATTTATTAAATATTTTAAAAAGTTACACTGTGTCATTCGTTACACTGTGGCTGTGTTGTCTGTGTAAAGCTGCTGTTGCACTGCAATTTCCCTCACGGGATCAATAATCTATCAAATACTGAATGACTTTCAACAACATCACCTGTTGTGGTGTTATTCTTCATATTCTTCATATAATACATTTCTTCTCCAGCTCTGTGACTGTTATACCTAGGTATATGATGGATACATTTTCAGACAATAATGAAGAATCACATCAGGAAGCTTTGTTGTAAAAGGCACACAAAAGATATTATTCAGTTAAAAAATTGCATTTCCTGAAACTGAAAGCATATGTACACAATTAAAAAAGAAACAGAAGACCTTTCTGACTTGCTAGTTTAAAAACCCTGTCTGTACTAGTCTTAGTAAAGCTTTATTGAGTAAATTGCTTTCAGTGCTTAGTTAGATAATGAGTAAATACTGTATTACTTATCTCATTTAAACCTTACAAGCTACAATATATACTGTAATGTTCTGTTTTAGAGGCTGAGACAAAAAGCTTTATATAAACATTTAGATTTTTTTTTCCAAACTATAGTCACTGTATGTGTAGCATTTTTTTTAATGAGAAAAGGAAAAAAATACATTTTCAGTTCTGAAAACATTAATGTTTATTAAGAATCTTATTAAAACAAGTGAATGTATTTCTCTTGCTTCTAGGCAAGATCATTCTACACATTTTCATTAACTTGAATGGCAGCTGGTTGTTTTAAAATAAATTGTGCATTTTCTTAAACGTTTAGACAAAATTTCATCTATGAACATGTATCAGAAAATGTCTAAGTAAACATAAATCATGCACAGTAAAACAGTAATAAAAAGCAATTATTTCTTCCTATAAATGTCTTCCAAGTTTTCTTGAAATACAGATTTTAATATTTAATATTCCTTATTTTAAAGAAAGTATGCAAAATATCAGTGAGCAAGCTAATTATTCCTACGTTTTTCACAGAGAACGTTAATGTTCAAGCAAGAAGACTGAATCACCATGTTTTACAACAGCTACAGTAAGTAAGGATTTCCAGGAATTGTCAGAGGTGCCTTGGGAAAGGGAAGACAGGTCAGTCATGCCAAGAAGACACACGGATAATCATTTAAATATATACAGTATATATACAAAATGGAATATAGAGCAAGAAGTATTGAAAATAAATAATTCAGACAGCTGTGTATCTTCAAGATGTCTTTTTCTCAATTTAAGTTGAAGATTTATTTCTCAATTTGGCTAAAACATCCTTAGAAACATCTTTGGCTTAAACAAAGGATTTGTCTTTTATTCCTAAGAGAAAATCTAAAAATGTCCTAGTCGTGACACCCAAGTTTTTTTTTTCTTTCTTCTGGCACTGACATCATTAAAGCCTATCTTGTTTAAACAGGATTGCTAGTAATTAAGGAAACAAGGGGGTAAATAATGTGAATTCTGTTTATAATAAGTTGTTGGGGAAAGATCACATCAGAAAGTGTCAGTTAATCGGAGGCAATAGGTAATCACCCCTCACACCTCTGGTAACAGCAATGATATTATTCGTGTCAGATGGTTGTTACCCTACCAGAAAGAGGACAGAATAATTATTACTCTTCCCATTTATGTAGTGCTTTTCATCCCAAAGAGCTTAATCATAGAACAGGTTCCACTTCGTCCTCCAGTGTGATCTGCTAGAGCCTGTGTGTGCCTGGTCAGGCAGAAGAGTGATGAACCTGCTTCATCAATTGAATTAAGGGGAAAACTTTAGGAAGGTCTGACCAAGTGTACCGTGGGATCTTTGAAAACCAAGTACCTTAGTTTAGAAGGATGGCACCTCATACAGCAAGTCCCCACATTGGGTGCTGGTTTTGGTGTATTGATCAGGGGAAAGAGGACCACCTACTGATCCAACAGCACCCCTTGCAACAGCAACCTTAATTTCATCAGAGGCCTCCCATCCCCAGCACCGACCTCAGCCTTGATCAGCTTCTGAGATCTGACGCGATCAGGCTACAAGGTGAAACAGATGTTACTGTGAGAGGGCACCCCACATTGTCTCTCCAGCCATCACTGGACGAGTGCCCCTGATGTTATTAACAAGCACATTTTCATACTGTCCCGGGCCGTGGCGGAGGGGGATGGTTATTGAAGGGCTCCAGTGGAGCTGGGTGGGGGAGGGCTTTTTGCATTTTTCTCTTGTATGTGTCATCTCACTGAGCCACCTAAAATACAATAAACATATACTGA